GGCATGCCATACTGAATGGGCTGATAGGACTGAGCGGACTGGCCGCGTTGAGCGGACTGGCCGCGTTGAGAGGGCTGGCCGCGTTGAGAGGGCTGGCCGCGTTGAGAGGGCAGGCCGCGTTGAGAGGGCAGGCCGCGTTGAGAGGGCAGGCCGCGTTGAGGAGGCTGACTGTCCTGAACCTGTAGGCACCGCTGAGTGTCAGGACCCTGTCTTGTTGGAGCCTCGTGCGGAACGCGGAGATTTTGCTGGGAGCGAGGGCCACCATAAGCGTTTAGACATGGATGACCATCAGTCCTTTGCTCACGCCTGTTAGTCTGTGAATCAGTATGATTTATTATTAATTGCTGAATCTTAGTAGATTACCACTACTCATTTAAAACAAAGTAAAATGAGTGATTGTTAAATACATATTGTCACTATTTTTTCTGCCGAAAATTATTTGAAATTGCCGATGGTAATTAAACCATTTGAGATTATTATTCTGTGTCCATAATTATGGGACGTTACGTGAAATACAGAAGAAAAGATCTACGAATACTGGGTAGTAGAGCTGCTTGTTAGTAGCACCAGAGATGCAGCCTAATACAAAGGTGTACCCTTTAACCTGACAAAACGAAAACACTAAAATCATACGTATCATTTAAAATGTCTCAAACAAAAATGAATATCTCCAAGGAATACATCTGCCTGACCTAAAATTAATCTTCGCTCCTGCCCTAAAACCTAGATATGGGAAGGTGGCAACTTTGAAATATTAAATTAAAACCAATTTTTTATCGCAGATTTGTATTTTACACTAAAAAATTATAACTTTTTCTGAAACATTTTTTGATTCGGGATAGACGGCTGTATAATTTCAAAACTAAGATTTTTTGCAATTCTCGAGATATATAAACTTTCGATTAAGAAAGAAATAATTGTTAAACATTTTTGAAAAAAGGATCTAGTGATAACAATGAAACCCCAATCTCATTCCTAAACGGTAGGGTGGGAGATAACATTCAAATCTCAACCGGGAACCCTGATTTTTTTTCATTAAAAAATTATAATTAACGTGTAGACTGTACTATACCCGAGGCAGTTGGTTCCTTTCAAATTTAATATTTGGTTGGTGATGATTTTGTGTTCTCTAAAACTATAAAGCTATCTGAAGTATCTCTACTCCAAATTTATCCTAAATATATGTAAGCCAAAGTTGCCCTATGTATAAGTAAGCCATAGTAGTCCTATGTATAAGTAAGCCATAGTTGTCCCATGTTTAAGTAAGCCATAGTTGTCCTATGTTTAAGTAAGCCAAAGTTATCCTTAGTATCTGTAAGCCAAAGTTATCCTTAGTATCTGTAAGCCAAAGTTATCTTGGGTATCTGTACGTTAAAGCAGCTTGGAAGGGCAAATCATCGCCAAGCCGCAACTTCACCTGTGTTTGAGCAGCCGGTTGGGCGCGCGGCCCTTGCTCTGCCTCCAGCATCCGCGCTCTCCGGCGCATATAATAGAAGCGCGGGGCCAGTGGCGTCCGCGGCGGCCTCAGCGGCCTCCACGCCTTCGGCGGCCTCTGCGCTTGCGCCTGCTGGGCCCGCGGAGGCTTCTGCGCCACCTGCGCCCGCGTCGCCCTC